ATCTACACTGTTACTATTAAAAAATTTTTACTAATAAAGATATGAGTAAGGCCTCACCTTAAAACCAAAAAAAAAAATAATAATAATAATCAAAACTATAATAATAATAATAATATGACAGGGTGAAACCTGGACCTGAGTTGGGACATTATTGATGCAGATTACCTCTAACTATCCTAAAATAGTATCTAACCCTAATTAAGTACAGATTTGTATCAAAAAGGTAATCTACACAACTCAGGTTTCACCAGGTTTGGGTCAAAATCTTGACAAACAAAATTCTGACAGGTCATAATCCCGACAAAAAAATCCCAACAATCAAAAATCCTGACAATCAAAAAAAGCTTTCTTGAGCAATTTTACTATAAAATCACCTAAATCAAACCCTAATCTAGGTACTCACCTAACCTAACCTAAGCACTCACCCTAACTCTAACCTAACTTAAATAAACTTAATAATTTTTTTGTTGTCAGGATTGTCGAGATTTTTACTGTTGGGATTTTTTTGTCGGGATTATGACCTGTCGGGATTCTATTTGTCAGGATTTTGACCAGCACCCGGTTTCACTCTGTTATATAATAATAATCAAAACCAAAACAATAACAACAATAATAACAATAATAATAACAATAACAACCAACAAAGACAATATTTAAACTAGAAATAATATTTCCAGTAGGTGAGCATGCTAAAATCCAAAAACCCTTAACTGATAACAATGAAGATGTCTATTCCTTTCTAATAGATGAAATTGATTTATTACTTGACCAAGAAAATAACAAAACTTATAATAATAACAATAATATAGATGATAATTTTTATAATCTCTGGACAGATCATAATGAAACTATAAAAATATTAGAAATGAACTCGAATGAAATTGATTTTAATCTCGAAAATAACAATCAGAAGAATCAAGTTAAAGATGCATTATTTACTACCGCTGAAGTTTTGGAAAAAAAAATTAATGTTCTTATTGATACTGGTTCAAAAGGGTGTGTGGTTACTAAACTCTTTTTCGATAAAATAGGTTGAAATATTGATGAACCAAGTAATGTTCGAGTTGTAGATATTATAGGCTATAAATCTGTTCCCTTAGGCAGAGTTAAGAACATTTCTATCCAACTTGATACCAAAATTATATTAGTTGATATGTTAGTAACAGAATCTAAAGAATATAATGTAGCTTAGGAAATGAATATTTAGACAAAAGTCCATACAATTATTGACTACTATGGAGAATTCATGAGTATTGGAATTGCAGATCAAATAGAATATGTTCTAATCTCCTGTAAACAACGAATCACAGATCCTAATATAGTATATCCAAGATTATTATTCTAACCAGGAATTAGATTTAGAATTAGAAAAAGGAAACACAAATCCTATTGAACCTATATACACTACAATTAAAATTGGAAATACCTTTTCTCAGCTTGATGAACAAATAGTTGCTAATATAAAAATTAAAAATATTAATAATCTTTTAAGTTTTCCTTCAGATGAAATATTTAAGCTAATACAACCAGAAATCAAAAAAATAAAAGATAAAAAGAAAGAAGACATGAAAATTTCTATTTCTATTACTGAAGATAAATTAACCTTTATCGGACATAACCTCGATGAACAACAAAAAAGAATATAACTCAATTATTATTAGAAAATACAAATATATTCGCTACAAAATTCTCTGAACTATGAAAAACCAATGTGGTATATCATAGTATAAATACTGGTGATTCATATCCTATTAAACAAAGGGTATATAGAGCCTCTTCTATTGAACAAGACAATATCCAAAAAGAAATTGAAATAATAGAAAAAGAGATTGGTAGAAACTTTAGGGTTTGAAGTTTTTTAGAAATATATTGTAATGCTTGTGGAAGGTAGGATTGGTGATATT